GAGGTCCCGGGTTCGATTCCCGGCTAGGAAGTTACTAATTTTTTCTCTCAAAAAATTAAATTAAATTTTTGCCTAATGATGGAAGGCGGAGAAACCCTAGTGGAAAAACCTAAGGCAGAGGCGTAACACGCCTGATCGGAATTTCGGATCGGACTTGATCAGTTTCTGATCAAGACCTGAACAGAATTTCCACTCGGGTAGGTTTTTCCACTAGGGCCACTCGTATTAACATTTCCCCTTTTTCACACTTGTAACGTAATATACTATTTTCGTCTCGTCCCGCGACATCATTAAAACCAAATTAAATCAATTTATTCAATTGTTTTTATTCTCAACATTACGAAAACTAATGTCTGAATTTCAGACGTCTTTGTAGACAATTTTCAAACACTTTTGGGACGATTTTGTAGACACTTTTGAGACATTGAAGTGTGTCGGAATCAATGGAGGTATTTTAATTTCAGATGTCTAAAATTGAAACCAAAATGTCTGAAATTAAGATATAGATATCAGTTTCAGACACAAGCGGTATTTGAAATTTTCAAACATCAGTTAGATTTTCAGACACTTTTAAAAATTCAGAAGTTTTTTGCCGTCTGCCATCTTAAATTCAGATGGTTGTCAGACACCTAATATTTGCAATGGATGAGGCAACTTTTCAGACATGAGAAGTATCTTAAAAATTAATGTTTGAATGAACTTTGCCGTCTGAATCAGGTGAGTTATCTTAATAGTGAAATATTAGAATCGCTCATAAATAATTGAATTTCAGACACAGAAAATATCTAAAAATAAATACCTGAAATTTTTCAGACACAAAAAATGTCTACCAACATTTTCAGACAGAAACGGTGGTTGAAATTTTAAGACATTACTCAGATTTTCAGACACTTTTGAAGATTCAGACGTTTTTTACCATCTGACATCTTAAATTCAGATAGCTGTCAGACACCTGGTTTTTGTAGTGAAATCCAGAATATTTTGATACCAAAACTACTGCAGTTGATTTGAGAAGGGCTTTTCTTGGTGTGAACCAATTCTCTCTCCTCCTTAGGACAAGTATAATGCCTTCACCAAACCGTTTGTTTCTCAGTGAAAAATATTTTTTCTGATCCATTTTCGAGCCATGAATTTCGTGAACAAACTTCCCAGAAAACTTTTTTTTCTTAGTGTATATTTATTCAATATGAAAGTCTCGTCATTTATCAGATACTTCTATCGCTTCATGACATAATGTACTATTTTCGCTCATATAATTGCAATCCTCGCGTTCGGCTCGGGCTGCAAACTCATATTCGCCAGAAAAGTTTTTTTCGACCTGATGACGAAATATACTAGTTCGTCACAGGATCGAAATGTACTATTGTAATATTAGATAGCTTTTGTGTCATATTGGACTCGCTAAATAACGTTGAAGGCGCTGTTTTCCTAAACATGGTCGCTCTAAACGCTCATATACGAGCATATTCGGGGTCGAATAGCCGATTGAATCAGCCAAGCCTCGGTCTAGAATTGCCATGCCACTATTATCAACAGTTTATCGGTTGCTTCAGGAAGAATCAGCCGAAGAATATAAATTAAATTTTTTTAAATGTATTAATTAATTTTTTTAATTATTAAAAATATGTATTCGGTGGGTCACGGGTGCCGATCATCGGTCGACGGCTGACAACCAATATCGGTTCAATATTATCAAACCAACAGCTACCCGAGTGGAATTTCCGGTTAGGTCTTGATCAAGTTTGGATCAGGTTAGACCTGACCACTGATCAGGTATTGATCAAATTGACGGATCCGGTCTTGATCAAGTCAACTGTATGAAAACTGGATGACCTGTCTGTCAATATCAATAACAATTATCAATAATAATTAATCCAAAACAAAAGATAATTCAATTCTTTCACCGTAGACCGCCTCTCTTGATGAATCTTTACTGTTATTACCTCTGAAAAAGCTTATTATTTTTTTACCGATGCTGGGGATCGAACCGTAAGGGGATGCCCTAACTACTACGCTATCGCGCTATATTACTATTGAGTAAACTATACATGGCCTATATGATTTGTATCGGGGTATTCGTTGAATTTACGATTATTCCTGATCTCGCGGATGTGCGTGTGTATTCTGAGAGATAGAATATGTTCAATTGAATTTTTATTTGTTTCATTAATGAATAATAATAATGATAATAACAATAACACTAATAAATAAATAGATATTTGGTGATTTTTTCTGAAGATCATTTGCGTGTAAGTTTGATACTCCTCTAATACGTAATTACATCATCATCATCCCTCCCTTCTGTACATTTGAGAAGGGCTGGCTGTTAATTAAATTGATTAATTGAATTAAATTAATTCAATTTAATTTATTTTAATTATAGTATAATAGTCCTTTTTAAAGATTGAAAATAATTATTGATAATGGTTGATAAAACTTAATTTGAATAGTATAATAATAGTTAATTAAATTATCCGAAAAACTTATTAAAATTAATGTCAGGTGGACCGGATCTGAATCTGATCATTTTCAATGCAATTGACTCCGTTCAAATACCGATCAAAGACATCAAATCGGAATTTGATCAAATTGGGGTCAGGCAGCCGACCTCAGGATGAGATCGTGCCTACCTGATCAGAACTTGATCTGAATCATCCTGCAGTTTTTCGGATCCGATCTACTGGATCAAAACTTGGTCAGGTTCTCATCAGGCATCATCTGATCATGTCTATCTGATCAGAACTTGATCTGAACCCGTCTGTAGTTTTTCGGATTCGATCTGCTGGATCAGAACTTGGTCAGGTTCTCATCAGGAATCACCGAATCAGTCGAACCTTACAAAAATCTGATGAAGTTCTGATCGTGCTTCAGGGGGGCCTGAAGCAATTTCCACTCGGTTAGCCGAGTCCGAGTCTGGGCCAAGACCGATTGAGGATCGGCACCTAAGCATCGGCAACTCGGCTCTTAGTACTGGCCCGATCTTGGCCCGTTTGACTTTTCGTCGCCAAAATACAATACTCCGGCCGGAAAACAAAAAGCCTAAAGTTTAGTGCCATTGTGTATGTGAGCGCCTATTTCTTATTTGGCGAGCCCTAAAAAACATTGATATACTTGCGTGGGATAGATAATTTTTCGCGTTTTGATAACCACTACGCGAATCATTGTCCATCAGATTCAACAATAATCTTTTCTTTTTAATTATCCACCACTGAAGCATACCGGAATCGCTATCTTTGCGCACACAATTTACTAAAAGCACATGCACGTACTTATCATATTTATGATGAGGAATTCCGGGCAATTCAAAAAGGCAAAATTGGATTGGCCGTTAATAGTGGATACTATTTTCCGAAATCGAAGGATGATACAGAAAGTGCGGACATTGCATTTGCTTTTGAAGGAGGATGGATACTGAATCCGATATTCTCGACAAATGGAGATTATCCAGAGGTAATGAAGAGGAGGATTGCAGAGAACAGCAAAGCGGAAGGATTGACTCACTCCAGATTACCAGAATTTTCTCCTCAGTGGATCGATTACATAAAGTGAGTTTGCATTTTAAATATCTTATAAAATTGATAATCAGCAGTACTTTTTCGATATACACCGACAGAGAGACAAATTTGTAGAAAAGACTATACACGGAAAAAAATATCCTCGAATGTGATATGTCATATTCTGGAATCAGGAATATGTGTATTCCTGAATGCGTCAATCCTTAATCCATTACATTCTGGATTCCGGAATAATATTCAGTAATCCGGAATACTTTATCTAATACATTGCACCCGTGGGTCCGGAGGGCGAGGAGCACTCAGGAAAGTATTTTCATACATTCGTGCTCCGATTGGAAATTGGAAGTTTTGCAAATGATTAGTGGGCTTTAAGGGGTAATGTGTCGTATTTTCGGACATTCTTTCGGGAGTTTTGAATTATTATTGCCACCAGCAACCTTCTGAATAGTTTGACGTTACTAGGAGGCCATTGAGCTTTCCACTCTGAGGATTGCTCCACTAAACAAACGAAATTAGATATTACCAAGTATGAAATATCGCCATGATCATCGATCAAATGGGAGTCAGCGTGAGTTCTAAAAATTATTCGTAGTAGTTTAAAGAATCTTCCCATTTACTTCACTTTTGTAAATTTTTGACTGGAGGATTTTCTAATTTACTTCTATACTTCTAATTTTTGTTTTCCATCCATAAAAAATTGTAGCAGGGATTGTGCCGTTTGCCGAAATTTTCCTTTTGAATGGAAACATTGTACCCATCAAAATCCGAAATTAGCCCGGTGGCTTGGCGCAGTGGGTAAGTTCGTTGCCTCCCATGCAAACGGTTCCGAGTTCAAATCCCGGCCGGGTAGAATGGTGCGATCTAACCATTTAAAGTCTTCATCATCATCGCAGTATACCCTAACCGGGTCGAAGCGATGTAAAATAACGATAAAAAAAAATCCGAAATTTCCAATGTTTTGTGTCAGGATAACTAATTTTGGTCTCAGAAGTTCCAATATGTTATTTTTAGGCCATGTCCGGATATATGTATGTATATGTGTATGTAACTGATAGTTTTTCGATGATAGCTGAAAAAATATTGTCATTATTTATTATTATAAAAATATTGTTGCATAATTGTTTAAATGAATCCAATTGTGATAAAAAACTAGTGGATAATTGCATTTTCTGTATATGGGTACAGTTTATGTTGCTAGCAAATTAGCAATACGTTTCCGAGTGGATTCTCTATTTTTGAAATTTATTACTCTTATTGTTTATTGTTTTGAATAGTGACACCCATATGACTCTTATGATCCCTATATTACCCTTTCATGAGCCCATAGAACCCCCATATGACCCTTGACTGCATATCACTCCATATAATCCCGCATGACTTTCATATGACTCTCGTATGAGCTGATGCGATCCTTGTATGACCCCATAACATCATATGACTCCATATGACCCCATATGACCTCCATATAACCCCATATGACCTCCATATAACCCTATATGAGCATATGGGTACATGAACCAGTCTGACCCCCCCATGACCCCGTGTGACCCCCATATAATGTCATATTACTCCAATATTACCTCATACAGCCCCTATATGAACCTCATATGAATCCATATCACTTCATATAACCCCATAGGAGCCCATATGAATCTCATATTACCACATATGACTTCCATATGACTCCCGTATAGAACCCCATGCGATCGTCATATGACCCTGTATGATCCCATATGAGCCTATTATGACACTATATGACCTCAGATAATTTCCAAATGTCCTCATATAACTCCCATATGACCTTCATATGACGTAAAGCCTCATATTGCTACTACGCAACTTAATAAATAGTTATGCTGTTTTCATCACCTTTGCACTTCATCGAGAAAGCATCAAAACAATCCTTTCGAGCCATGATTTCATTGATATTGTTGTACCCAGCGTGGGGGGTACTTATAATTATAGTAGGTTCTAGGCTTAAAGGGATAAATCCCACCAATGATTTATCGGCATTTAAATATGAGAATTTATTACATGATTATAACTAGTGTGTCATCAGACTGATTACAAAGAGTTTACGACTTTTGTACGTGTCGGAGTCCAATTCAGGTCTCATCTATGCAGACCCAACCGTCTCTTAAATAATACAGTGATTGTTTACATTTCATCACTCGGTCAGCATAATCCAGTTACACTGGCAAGTGTCATGCTGCCAATGCTGTGTGTCCACATACTCAACAATAACGCAATTGACCAAATCTGGGGCGTAACAATATGACTGTTAATTTTTACAGTTTATCATGAAAAAAACGAAAAAAAAAAAAATCTCACGAACTATATGCTGTAGCTCAACTGTGATAGATGTGATCTGCATCATATTCTAATAAAATCAAGAGGCTATCAATACAAATTTTTTAAGCCATGATTCATTTCATTCTGATAACAATTCTTGGACTAAGCGTCGAAAAATCGATTCTTGAAAAAATACCAATATTTCACAAACTCTATGAATAATTCAACTTTAATTGATGTCGATGAATAGAGCCTATTAACGTCTATATCCATGGAAAAATTCATGAAACTTTATTAAGCTCCTATAAAGAAGATTGCAAAAAAAAATTGAAAAAAAGTACACACATACACTGAGAGAAAAATATGATTCTTCTGACTATATTCCATCACCATCGAATTATAGTCAAAAAGTCCTCAACAATTTTTCATGGGTTACGGTGACTATGGCCAGAGAAGTAATTACTACAATGGAATATAGTCATTGCAACTATTTTATAGTTCCACTCACGATATATTGGTCGTGGGTACTTTTGAACTTTGGTTAGTTTAACTGGATTTTGATTTGGAAAAATTACGCTTGTGAAGTTTCTATAATGTTATGTGCCGCATACAAAAAAAAAATCGTATCGTTCACCAAAACTGCCTCAACTATTTTCTTATTGTAAATCGAACTTCAGATTTTTCTCTCAGTGTATACATACATACATATAGACACTACCTAAAAATCACATATTTAGAATTTTTAGACCATATTTAGTTACTTTGACACAAAAATTTGGAAACTTAATTTCGAACGATTATGAAGCTTTCATTCGGCAGCAAAAATAAGAAAAAATGAAAACAAAATATTCGTCCTAATGTCATCTTACCCGAGTTCAATCATGAGATTGATTGCATCATCTATTGTTGAAGAAATTTATTTTGTAACTCATATTCAGGGAAGGTAGAAAATTTTAACATTGGAAAAATGTTAGCTTTCAACGGTGAAGCAATGTTGGCTACCAATGTTGGGGCAATGTTGAATTCAATGTATCATTTAACCCGTTACGTACGGGGTCGATGCATGGCATCGACCCATGCGAATGTGAACGCTAGTTTTCAAAATTGATTATTCCTAAATCTATGAAGAATAACTTGATCAGACAAACAAAATTGGAAACCGGAATACTGTGGCCTCAATTACATACCGGTTTCATAATTTGCCATTCATTAGAAATAATCGAATTCGAGTCGTATTGAGCACACAGTACGCTTGGTAATAGAAGGGCCCCGTCCCTGAAGGATTAATGAATTGATTTAAAATACATGGTCATAGAAATTAAATTCTGAACTAAATCGCTAATTTATTAGCAAAAATATATTGACTATGTTATGACAAACACAATTTCCCAGTTGTTTTTCTCTCATTGTACGTGTAAAATGTTATTTCAGGGGAACATTTGATTATTTGGGTCTCAATCATTACGTGCCGGCGATGATCGAACCAGCGAATAAGACTGCNTTTTTTTTTTCAATCGGCCGGTTCTGGGACCACAATTAATTCATTTATTATTTATTTTTCGCCGAATTTATTAATCCAGTGAGCAATTTGTTGATTTGTAACTATTGTGAGTCCGTGAACCAGGCAAGAGTGAAACATGGTCACCTGGACCGTGGTCCTTATCAGGTTCACGGAGAGAAAGGTAAAAATTACGGAACTCACAATTCGTTCACCGATTACGGAATCGACTCAGAAAATTCAAGTGACCGTATCGTAATTTTTCACAAGAGGTTCAAGTAAAAGTTCGTCACGCTCTGGAATAATTCCGTAACAGTTTCGTAAAATTTCCTACAACCACACNCTATAAAGAAGATTGCAAAAAAAAATTGAAAAAAAGTACACACATACACTGAGAGAAAAATATGATTCTTCTGACTATATTCCATCACCATCGAATTATAGTCAAAAAGTCCTCAACAATTTTTCATGGGTTACGGTGACTATGGCCAGAGAAGTAATTACTACAATGGAATATAGTCATTGCAACTATTTTATAGTTCCACTCACGATATATTGGTCGTGGGTACTTTTGAACTTTGGTTAGTTTAACTGGATTTTGATTTGGAAAAATTACGCTTGTGAAGTTTCTATAATGTTATGTGCCGCATACAAAAAAAAAATCGTATCGTTCACCAAAACTGCCTCAACTATTTTCTTATTGTAAATCGAACTTCAGATTTTTCTCTCAGTGTATACATACATACATATAGACACTACCTAAAAATCACATATTTAGAATTTTTAGACCATATTTAGTTACTTTGACACAAAAATTTGGAAACTTAATTTCGAACGATTATGAAGCTTTCATTCGGCAGCAAAAATAAGAAAAAATGAAAACAAAATATTCGTCCTAATGTCATCTTACCCGAGTTCAATCATGAGATTGATTGCATCATCTATTGTTGAAGAAATTTATTTTGTAACTCATATTCAGGGAAGGTAGAAAATTTTAACATTGGAAAAATGTTAGCTTTCAACGGTGAAGCAATGTTGGCTACCAATGTTGGGGCAATGTTGAATTCAATGTATCATTTAACCCGTTACGTACGGGGTCGATGCATGGCATCGACCCATGCGAATGTGAACGCTAGTTTTCAAAATTGATTATTCCTAAATCTATGAAGAATAACTTGATCAGACAAACAAAATTGGAAACCGGAATACTGTGGCCTCAATTACATACCGGTTTCATAATTTGCCATTCATTAGAAATAATCGAATTCGAGTCGTATTGAGCACACAGTACGCTTGGTAATAGAAGGGCCCCGTCCCTGAAGGATTAATGAATTGATTTAAAATACATGGTCATAGAAATTAAATTCTGAACTAAATCGCTAATTTATTAGCAAAAATATATTGACTATGTTATGACAAACACAATTTCCCAGTTGTTTTTCTCTCATTGTACGTGTAAAATGTTATTTCAGGGGAACATTTGATTATTTGGGTCTCAATCATTACGTGCCGGCGATGATCGAACCAGCGAATAAGACTGCTGATGGAAGATGGTATGATGATATAGGTGTCATTTACACGAATCATTCTAAATGGAAAACTACTTCCATGGGATTTGGGGTAACGAAACATCTTCAAAGCATTGTTTATTAAGAATTTCGGATTAGAACGGATAGGATTATTCCTTATTTCTAGGTGTACCCCAAAGGTATAGGGGGGGTCTTGCGGAAGATAACAAAAACGTTCAATAATCCCACAATCTACATTTTGGAAAATGGCGCCAGCCTCCGGTCAGGCGTCATTGATGTGGATAGAGTTGAATATTTTTATTCATACATGAAGGAAGTGCTATTGGCCATTCGTGATGGATGTGATGTCAGAGCATATACTGCATGGAGTCTGTTGGATAATTTCCAATGGTTCTGGGGATATTCGTGAGTTGATGAAAACTTCATCCAGTTTATTAGGTGCAATATTACTTTCTTCAAATATTTCTGGATACATATTTTGTTATACTTTTAGGTTACGCTATGGAATCGTTTCCGTAGATTTTAAAGATTCTAACAGAAGAAGAACTCCGAAACTGTCTAGCTATTGGTTAAAAACGGTTATACACGAAAGAAAGTTACTGCCATACAATCAAATCATCTTGAATATTGTAAAATTAGGGTAAGTATTTTTGAAACGTGAGAGTGACATCACTTGTTCAGGTACCAGGAATATATCATGGAAAACTTTCTCTTTCCTCGGTTCGCCCAATCAGAGCCCACTATTCGAAGTCTCGTGATACCTTCACGTCGGTTTTATTTTGACAATTCCCTCAATTCTGATTTCGACCAATCAGTAGTTGATATTATTGTAGATTCAGTTCAATACTATCATTTTAGTGGGAGTATCATTGATATACACTAAATAAATGACCAGTTTCAAGAATGACAAGGTGGTCGAGTGGATAGGGTACAGAACTATAATACTAACCGAAAAGTACGAATGTCAGGTCCCGCTCCGAGTGTTTTTTTTTTTTCGTTTTTTTTTTTTCAATCGGCCGGTTCTGGGACCACAATTAATTCATTTATTATTTATTTTTCGCCGAATTTATTAATCCAGTGAGCAATTTGTTGATTTGTAACTATTGTGAGTCCGTGAACCAGGCAAGAGTGAAACATGGTCACCTGGACCGTGGTCCTTATCAGGTTCACGGAGAGAAAGGTAAAAATTACGGAACTCACAATTCGTTCACCGATTACGGAATCGACTCAGAAAATTCAAGTGACCGTATCGTAATTTTTCACAAGAGGTTCAAGTAAAAGTTCGTCACGCTCTGGAATAATTCCGTAACAGTTTCGTAAAATTTCCTACAACCACACTTTGCTCCGGAATTACGGAAAAGATACGTAATTTTTATTGAATATTTCTCTCCGTGTTTGGAAATCAGGTCCTGATTATGCTTTGCGTTCGTGTGTAAATTGCATTTCCCATCACGCCCTGATGTGATAACCTTAACCGGACCGGATCTTTTCTACGCGCACAGCAGACCAGGGCCTGGCCAGTCAAATATTAAAATTTCTATTCGGGTTTTTCTACTTGGTCGGCAGATTTTGTGCTTCACCCAAGGTCACCAAAGATACTTGGGACAAGTAGTTGCCGAACTTTATACAAGGAAACTTCCTTCAAGTACCATTTGGTACTGGTGAAAAGTACTTTTTTTGGTAATGTAAGGGAGGGTGGGGCAAAACGGACCAAGCGGGCAAAACGGACCGCAGGGCAAAACGGATCCTCACCCGAGTGGAAATTCCGGTCAGGTCTTGATCGAGTTTGGATCAGGTTAGACCTGACCACTGATCAGGTATTGATCAAGTTGATGGATCCGGTCTTGATCAGGCATGTTACGCCTCTGAACAATCCGGATTTGATCAGGACGAATGGATCAGAACTTGATCAACTCAACTGTATGAAAACCGGATGACTTGTCTGTCAGTATCAATAACAATTATCAATGATAATTAATCCAAAACAAAAGATAATTCAATTCTTTCACCATAGGCCGCCTCTCTTAATGAATCTCTACTGATATTACCTCTGAAAAAGCTTATTATTTTTTTACCGATGCTGGGGATTGAATCGTAAGGGGATGCCCTAACTACTATGCTATCACATTATATTACTATTGAGTAAACTATACATTGCCTATATGATTTGTATCGGAGTATTCGTTGAATTTACGATTATTCCTGATCTCGCAGAGGTGTGTGTGTATTCTCAGAGATAAAATATGTTCAATTAAATTTTTATTTATTTCATTAATGAATAATAATAATGATAATAACAATAACACTAATAAATAAATAGATATTTGGTGATTTTTTCTCAAGATCATTTGCGTGTACGTTTGATACTCCTCTGATACGTATTTACGGCATCATCATCCCTCTCTTCTGTATATTTAAGAAGGGTTGGCTGTTAATTAAATTGATTAATTTAATTAAATTCATTAAATTGAATTAATTTAATTTATAGTATAATGTTTTTTTTTAAAGATTGAAAATAATTATTGATAATGGTTGATAAAACTTAATTTGAATAGTATAATAATGGTTAATTAAATTATCCGAAAAACTTATTAAGATTAGTGTCAGGTANGGAGTATCATTGATATACACTAAATAAATGACCAGTTTCAAGAATGACAAGGTGGTCGAGTGGATAGGGTACAGAACTATAATACTAACCGAAAAGTACGAATGTCAGGTCCCGCTCCGAGTGTTTTTTTTTTTTCGTTTTTTTTTTTTTCAATCGGCCGGTTCTGGGACCACAATTAATTCATTTATTATTTATTTTTCGCCGAATTTATTAATCCAGTGAGCAATTTGTTGATTTGTAACTATTGTGAGTCCGTGAACCAGGCAAGAGTGAAACATGGTCACCTGGACCGTGGTCCTTATCAGGTTCACGGAGAGAAAGNTTGAATAGTATAATAATGGTTAATTAAATTATCCGAAAAACTTATTAAGATTAGTGTCAGGTAGATCGGATCTGAATCTGATCATTTTCTCTTCAATTGACCCCGTTCAAATGCCGATCAAAGACATCAAATCCGAATTTCATCAAATTGGGGTCAGGCAGCCGACCTCAGGGTGTGATCGTGCTTACCTGATCAGAACTTGATCTGAATCATCCTGCAGTTTTTCGGATTCGATCTACTGGATCAAAACTTGGACAAGTTCTCATCAGGCATCATCTGATCATCTCTACCTGATCAGAACTTGATCTGAATCATCCTGCAGTTTTTCGGATTCGATCTACTGGATCAAAACTTGGACAAGTTCTCATCAGGCATCATCTGATCATCTCTACCTGATCAGAACTTGATCTGAATCATCCTGCAGTTTTTCGGATTCGATCTACTGGATCAAAACTTGGACAAGTTCTCATCAGGCATCATCTGATCATCTCTACCTGATCAGAACTTGATCTGAATCATCCTGCAGTTTTTCGGATTCGATCTACTGGATCAAAACTTGGACAAGTTCTCATCAGGCATCATCTGATCATCTCTACCTGATCAGAACTTGATCTGAATCATCCTGCAGTTTTTCGGATTCGATCTACTGGATCAAAACTTGGACAAGTTCTCATCAGGCATCATCTGATCATCTCTACCTGATCAGAACTTGATCTGAACCCGCCTGTAGTTTTTCGGATCCGATCTGCTGGATCCGAACTTGATCAAGTTCTCATCAGGAATCACCGGATCAGTCGAACCTTGCAAAAACCTGATCAAGTTCTGATCGTGCTTCAGGTGAGCCTGAAGCAATTTCCACTCGGGCAGGGCAAAACGGACCACTGACAGAAAATTGATAATTTTTGTTTTTGCTTCCGAATGGAGCAAATTGGAAGTCATTTGTGGTTTGAGATGATTAGCAAATCTGTTCAAATTGCGATTCAACGACACTTGTTGTCTATAAACCGCCTGTGACGGTTACGATCCAAGAAACTCACTTTTTATGCAACACATTCAGAGTTCCTGATTTGAAGGGAAGAAAAAAAAACAAAAATTGTGGACCGTTTTGCCCTTTCGGTCCGTTTTTACCCTACCCTCTCCTACATCGAAATTTCTCGCGTGCATCGACGATTTTTTTCGAACAAAAAATAGGAGAATAACAGTTTATACCTTGTTGTTTTCGATATTTCTCTGAGTGTTGAAATTAATTTATCGTCAAATTAAATCGCATAAATGCCAATTCTAAGAGTATAAATCTATTCCGGTGAAAATACCATGCAGATATTATTAACACTTCCATGATGCGTTAATAATTTAATCATAGGTGAATATGGCAATAAGGGCGGGATCATGAGCCACCGCAGTGTTTCCGTAGAAGCAGCGCCCCGGAGGTGTATCCGCCTCATACTTTATACTTTCTTTTTTGAAAAGACATTTAACCCGTAAAAAGTAATAACATCCGTCCCATATGAATAGGTTTCTCCCCACCATGCAGTCTCGCGGATAGAACGCAAGGTTCCCTCTCCAGTTTTGCTTGGGGCATTATCAGACGTATCAGTTCGCTACCGGTTTATTCATCTTACTATTAATTAACTCAAATTTTATTCATTTCTAGAAACTCTTTATGATTTAATTTTTTCAGTACCCCGAAGTACATCAATGGTGTTGCAGGTCATTCGTCACATGGTCATTGTGCTATTTCAGCGTGTCTTTCTTTCATATTTGTTTTATCCATTACACATGGGAATCTGATATGAGGTGATTCAAGGATGATTTCATAATTGTATTATCCAAAACAATAGATTATGTTAAAACAGATGATGTATTTTCTATGTAAACTATGTAATTTCATCATACCAGTAAAGTTGACCTCATATTCATGGCCTTGTACTGCTTAACAAACGAAAGATTATAAATGTTCGATCTAGTAATCAATAAATAAAGGTGTCAGATAGCTTTACGGCCAGAAGGACATAATGTCAATTGAAGGTAGACTTTATTCTTGAGGACTGGTTAAGCCCCGCATGACCCTTGAGGTACTTAGCCGTAATACTCAGCGCCTGGACTAGACCTAAAGTGAGCCTCGTTGATGGCCTTATGAGTCACCATTTCAGCCTAATATCAACAATGAGAATCTAGCTGGCTGAGACCTGAGCTACTACGCCTTGGCAACCTATGGAGTTCATCAAAGGTGGTTTCCACCGTGAGTTTTGGAAAATTTTATCTGGGTAGATCATCGGGAGATTATCAAGGCAGCCACGTTCCCGATAAGATAGAATAAACCTGATCGGGAAATGATCCGGTCATCGTCAAGTTGTCCTGACAATTGAACGCTGTGTAAAATATCAAGTTTGATATAAAGTTGCAGACTGTTTTTTTTTATTTCACTAAAATTTATCACTAATTCAAATTTATCATTTAAACTGATCAATGGACAATAATTTTATGAAACTGTAACATTTTAGTATTTCTCGGATTTTAATGTAAGCAACTGTAGTTTATGTTGCTTTCTTACGTCAAATTGTAGCCAAACACTCGCAATGTGAGATTAGTGAGTCTCCCATTCAAAATAACGCGACGGAAAGAGACGTTTTGTAGTATGTTTCGAAAAATTTAGTCAGTTTTGCTCTAGCAGTCTGTCAAGACCCGTGAAAAATTTCTACCATCCAATACTAATATTCAATCTTAACCGTCCTATTCAAATCGTGATATGCAAATCAGTCAATCAAATTGAATTATCATGATTCATCCAACTACTGATAATCTACAAAATATTCAAATCACTAATTTCGGGCTGTGAAATACTCATGTGAATTGATGCGGTGTTCATCAGGGTACGCTTGCAATTAATCACAATCAATTAAAACTAGATCGATTGATAAATAATACAACCAAAGAAAATAAAAATATTTTATAAATTTGAACCAACTTTAATATTCATATCGACTTTCAATATCGCGTTAAGAATTGACTCGATGAATCCATTAGATTAAACTGTTGTAATTTAACTTTTCGAATATTTAATCCAATCAATCAATCAACAAAAAGGAAAAAGAAAGGTTGGAGTAAGAAATTAAAAATGAGCGACCCAATGTAATAAACATAAAAAAATCTGTCAATTGGAAAATTCTTTGAAATTCATATTAAACATCCAAATAAGTTAAATCCAGTAAATACCCCATTTTTCATTGCAAAATAACAATAAACTAAATTTTAGGTAAAATAACCTGTGTGAAATTGTTTGTAACTCAGGAGCATCTTTTAATACGACGCAATCACTGAACTTTATTTGTATTTTACGCATAACTAATCGGAATTCACTTATTTAATAATCGGAAAAATTTGCAGTGTTTTATGTGTATATGGCAGGATCAGGTAATTGTCAAGTTTTCTGGATTTTATTTAAATCATCTTCAAGTTTGTTACAATTTCGAATGATTTATCATTAAATGACGAAATAATTTAAAGGAAAAATGGTGTAGTACTCATAAATTGACATTTTTCAATTATTTCGTGAACGTTTTTTCAAAAGTAGATGTCTCATAGTTTTCCGGACATCAGATGTTTTGAATTTTTCCTACCGGTTTAAATAAAGCATTAAGTTTCAACTTCAAAGCTCAAATCATAAAATGTTTGCAAAATATTCAAAAATCTACGGTGCAATGCAACTAAAATGCGAGGCTTCGATGCGAGGCTTCGATGTTCAGTTAGAAATGTAGTGAACAAATTACCCTTAATGATTCAGTCAATTATTCGATAATTGTTTTCATAATTATCACGAGTATCGCAAGTTTACGATAATGAAAAAAATGTATAAAATGTACAGAGTTGATTTAGTTACAAGTTGAATTGAGTGTACCAGCACTTTCTACTTTTCGTTCATTGACTACAATAAAACTTTGCGCACGTGCTTCAGTGATCCTCGTGAATATGCACTGTATAATTTTCCAACGTAAAACCCTTGATTCGTAGTTTGTAACACCTTGATTTTTACAACTAGGTGTTTTAGAATTCGCATAATTATAGGCTAATATGATTTGTACACATATGGAGCTTCTAGGACCTCCTCTAAATACAGACCAAGCCTATGATTTGCAGAAGGCGTTGTTCGTCATGCATGAGTCCTAGTTAGAGAAGTTTTTAAGAGCATCCTACGGAATGTGCTCACGGGTGACCCCCTGAGGCCACGGGATCGGATCATCATAATCCCTGGCATGGGGTATCATCATAATTACCATCGTGTGTAACACGATAATTAGGCCGCGGAAAAAAGGTGAGTAGTTATAAAAACCATGGCAGGATAGTTTTGGATGGCTAATAATGTTCGCGCCCTTTGTCCAAAATTTCTGGGTGCTGGGTAAATCATTTTTCACGAGCATACATTCCAGACGTTATACATAATAGCAGTGATCTCAGTTGCCCCCGGTTATTAGCTGTTGAAATTGTTCTATTCAGTCATGCTAAGGATATTAATTATAATTTTGTGTTCTTTGAGTGATCAATCTCAGTTAAAAGGCTCAAAATACCTGTAAATATTTTAAGAATGGAAAAATTCAGGCGAATCGTCTCACGTATGTTGACTGAATATTGGTGATGGCTGGTTAAATTTTATGTCATGATAAATAAGTGAAATAAAAGGGAGACGATATTGTCGATGACATGCAATGCGCCCGCTGCTAGGAGATAAGAATCACGTATATAAAACGTATCATAACTCTCTCTTCTTCTTTCCCTCTTTCTTGCTGTACTCACCAGACAAAAATCCCTCCCTGGGTTGCATTGATACCTTTAATATGAAACACCTGGTAAGTGATCGTAAACCGCATCTTTGTCAGTGTCCATTTCCGAAGAGAAAAACTTACGCGTCATGAGTGTTTTTTTTTGTCGGAGTGCCTATTTTTTGTCAAATTTATTACTTCGATCACAAAATTCTGAAAGGCATGAAGTTTTAGATACTATCGGATTATTTTGAAAATTTTCAGTGTTCCCGATCACTAAGAATGAATAGTTAGAGTTGTAATAACTACTAGTAATTGAATTTTTTCATTATTTTTCATAATTACTCAATTAAAGAAAATGTTTTTAGTTTAATTTTGAAATGTTTCTCATGATGGCGGACTACCGAATCTAGACCTCTGTTGCGATCCAACAGTCATTTCGAGTTTCATATCAAATTTAATTATTAATTATAATTTTTCATTATATCATACGTCGATTGAATATAAACTTGAAGGCATATTTTTCTTTTTGTACATAAATAATCATTTGACTGTGTTGCGTAAAAATCTCAAGACTGAAATGAAAATTAAAACCGCAACGATTCAAAGTATATATTCTCTCTCACAAATACTCTGTTCAACGCGTTTAGAAATACTTTCTTTTCAACTTGTACCAAAAAAACAAACCTCTGCTCAGGCATGAAAATCTCGGCTAGAAGAAGTCAGTAACGGAGCAACCGTGACATTGAACACTACTCTCCGACTTCCAAAATTCTGGCACAACATTATTACGTATTCGAATTCTCAAATAAAATGAATAATATATAAATTTCTTTTCAAAAAAATTATTAATGAATAATATATTAGTTTTTGTAAATTATCCGCGTTTTTTTTCTCTTTGATAAAATAACCAATTGATTTTTCGGGCCACGTAAGTTGACATGCCTGGGAGGATTTTACGATTAAAGAAAAATTACGTGTCTCAAGGAAATATGTTTAGGATATTAGAATTTTTTCTCAGTGTGCGTGAGTGGCAATTTCAATCAGGGCCAGATCAGAATTTGATCCGGTTCGGCCTGACACCAGATCAGAATGTGATTATGTGAATTGATCAGGTCCTGATCAAAGATGTAACGCCGTTTTAGATCCAAATTTGATCAGACCTGGCGGACCCGAACCTGATCAAGCCCCATGGATCCGGAGCGGAGGAACGTGTCCAGTTTCATTACTAATAATCATTATCAAAAAATAATAATTAAATTTTCAAAAATCATTTTTGCGATCATTAACTTCCCGATCCTAAGGGAGGAAGTTATTGCCATTTTCGACATTATTGGTCATCCCGCAACACATTTATTGCGGAAAAACCAAATTTCATTATCGCAAATTATTCAGCCCAGAGTTGCTTTCGAATCCGGGATCCTACGCTTACTAAACCTACGCCCTAACCACTACCATACTATTCTTGCATTGTGAATACCGTATTGTCAATATGACATTCATTTGCATGTATCATCTAATAAATATTATTCCCCCATTATTGAGGATAAATCATTTTTAGACAGACTTCTGGTAGTAGGGGTGAATTCATTCACCACCTTCTCTCACCCCCTTCGCGCTATCGTTTTCCCCCACCGCCCACCTTCCGCTTTACATTTGACAATTATGATTTCTGATACTTAAGACATTTGAACCTTGAAACAGCTGATCCTTATGATTATCTGCCCCTTATGAAGTCTGACATGTAAGTCAATTGACCCTTCAAGATATTTGATCTTTGAAACTTCTTAACCTTATATTGTCTGACCTTTCAAACAAGATATTTGAGCCTTGAAATGTTTGACACGTCTCACCCTTGAAACATTTGACCCTTAAGAGATCGCGATTTTCTAGCTTCTCACTCGCTCTACAGTAGTGCCTTCTAGGTTGCGTATGGTTTAGCATTCTCTCACGATGCGACCACTTGAAGGTTAAGAACTCCGGACTCTTAAACATCTGACTCTTGTGAATCTTAAGTCACCTGCTCCTTGTTACTTTTGACCCTCAAGACGCCTGCCCCTTGAAGCGACTGACGACGTGTTCGGATTGCGATCAGGGTGATGAAATCTCAATCTGATATGGTTTATTTCAGGATGCCCTGCTTAAATTGACATCACGGTGATAGAATTCGAATCTGATCAAAGTGATTTCAAGCTGCCTGGTCTCAAAAACCCTGAATCAGTTTTTCACTCGGTTTTGATCAGGTTTCATCTAATCAGTCGCACCTGACT